AAGCACTGAGACAGAAGGATCAGAAATTTAAGCAAGACCCTATATCCAAAATTTTTTCAAAGTTCTTGGAATGTAGCTCAATGGAAGAGCCCCTCTGGGTTTAATCCCCAGTACTACTTTTAGAAGGAGGAGGAGGAGGAGGAGGAGATTGTATATTGAGATATATCACCATCAAAACAGTTAAAATTAAAAATTAATGGCACTTATAATGGCAATACCAAGGATGCAGGGAAATTACCACAGATGAAGAAAACATGGATCTCATTCATTGCTGGTATAAACATGAAATGGTACAGGTACTCTGAGGAAAACAGTTTGGCATTTTCTCTGGAAATCAAACATAAATAATATACCTCCTAACAATCATACTCCTGAACATTTATTGTTGAGAAATGAATATTTATAGCCAGAGAGAGACCTGTACATGATTGTATACACCAGATTTATTTGCCAAACTTAAAACTTGAAATAACCAAATGGTGCTACAATAAGTAATAATTAAACAAATGGTGTGATATCCATACCATGGAATCCTACTTATCCAGGAGCCAACTGTAATTCACACCTAAAACCTAGAGTGGATTCCCAGAGCATTGTGCTAAGTGAAAACTAGCTGCCTTAGGGGTCACGTATCATGTGATTCCATATATATAACATTCTTGAAATGACAGGTGGAAAGCAAATCAGTGCTACCAAGGGGTACTGAGAATGGAAAGGAGGAGTGGACGTGACATTAAGTAGGTGCCCAAGGGAGGTATTTTATGATGGAATAGTTTGGTACCTTGCTAGCTGTAATGATCATAAGAACATAAGCATATGTTCAAATGACATAGAATTGGACTTACTCTTTACACCAATGTGGGTTTTCCCATTCATGCTGTACTATAGTTAAGATGTAACCTTTGGGGGAAATTGGGTGAAGGATACAGCAGACCTCTCTGTTCTATTCTTATGACTTCCTGTGAATTTAAAATTATTCCAAAGTAAGCTTTCAAAGGCAGGAAACATGCAAATCCTGCAAAGCATTCTTAAAAAAAAAAATACATTCCCTAAAGTGTTTTCAGGATGCTAAATTTCTCAAGTTAATAGTTTCTCTTTCCAACAGTTAGCTAAATCAAGTTGTTTATATACAGAAGATTCCTGGGTTTTTTCCCATTGTTTCTTTCAATTGATAACAGAGTAAATAATGCTATAAATTCTATACTTGCCATGTGTTAAACTCTAATTTACAATTGCTAATGGGTATCAAAGGATCAAGGACACCAATATCATGATTTAATCAAAAAACTGCTTTAACATATGAGTTGTGACTTCATTATTGACCTTAAGAGCAGACACTTTTGCAGCAGCTGTCAACAGGGAAACAAATGTGACTAATATTCTACTTTCTTCTATTTAAAAAAGAAATTAATTAATATAAATATTCCCCAACTGKATATCTTAAAAGCTTCTGGAACACATACTTTGAAAACTCTATGCCTGAATAATTGGGCCATTGATTATTTCTGGAACATAARTTCAGCCCTCCAATTTAATCTTATTTAGATATGAAATTACAATAAAAAAGGTTTCCTGATAATGTTTCATCTTCTTATTTTAAATTATCTCCTTTGATAAATCTCTTTTTCTTAGAAGATTTATGTAATAAATTACTAGATTCTGACATTCTTTAATTACCAATAGCAACACCTCCAAATATGTCTTATATTCTGCTTTCATAATTTACTAGCAAAGTGAAAACGCCTGTAGAATTATCTTAAAGGAGTTTATTGAAATCTTCAATGGTATTCTATTTTTTTTTAAGTGAGTAGGGAAAAATCTCAGAAAATACCTTGTGGAAAGTACAAATACAGGTTCACAGTCCCTTATCTGTACTTTCACTTGTCACGAGCTTTTGAAGATCTCAGAATTGCAGGTCAGGGTCTATTGGTGGCAACATCAGACTAGAACAATCGTTGGACTTTTTGGCCATCTCTTTGTAATCTGTGRCACTATTTTTTTAAACAGATTACAGGCATGCAAAGACACGAAAGACTACTTCTCTTTGAATCCATCTTTAATCCATGAGTGTTAATATTCCTACCTTCATTATAGAAACATAAATATGCTCAGGATGCTACCCAGCTGCTTGTGCGAGTATCATAGAAGACACAGCATATTGTATTTCAAAATCTGAAAGTCCTCAACATGTGAAATGTGATTGGCTCCAATAATTTGCAGTGGGAGATTATGGGTATCTTTAAAAAGTATAAAATAGGGCTGGGGTTGTAGCTCAGTCAAAGAGTGCTTGCCTAGCCTGTGTAAGGCACTGGATTTAATTCTCAGCACCACATAGAAATAGATACAATAAAGGTCCATTGACAAATAAAAAATATTTTTAAAAAGAAGTATAAAATAGATGTCTAGGGAGCACTGAGAATAGAAAAAAATCTTTCTTACCAAGCACAGAAATCCACAAGCACAAAGATCGTGACAAGAAATTCTACAGATTGGATCCAAATTATCATTCTATAAATGAGGAAACTGAGTTATAGAGAAGCTGAGAAGCTTTCTCAGGTTTCCCGAGTTGGAATGCAGGTTATCTGGGTTCAGAGATTATACTCTTAAATCCAAAAGCCAGCAGTCATGGTATTGTGAGAGACAGGGTCTCTGAGGTAAAAGCATGAGGATTTTGTGAAAGTTTATTTTCTTTCCAGCAAAAGTTCAAGGTTTAGGATACTGGAAGTCAGATGCATGATATCCAAGTTTGATATTGGAGAATCTTTTCATGGAGGAAAATGAACATCCCACAGGAAAAGGTATAGGAAAACTGACCTCAGATGGTCTTTATCTGTGGAGGTCACCTATCAAATTCTGGTCATGAGCGCTGAAATAACAAGCACCTATTTAAAGCCTATATATATAAGAAAATGTATTTAGGGGTTGGGGATTTAGCTCAGCGGCAGAGAACTTGTCTAGCAACACAAGGCCCTGAGTTCAGTCCTCAGCCTTGGGGGAAAAAAAGAAGAAGAAGAAGGTGTATTTCTATATTTGTCTGTTTTCAATTACTATAATGAAATACCTAAAGCTGGGTAACTTTTTTAAAAATTGGTTTGTTTAGCTTGTACTTTTGGAGTCTGAAAGTCCAAACACCTCTGGCAAAGTTTCCTGTGACTATGTCACATCRTGGCAGATGGCATCGTGATGGAGCATGTTGAGAGGGAGCCATCACATGACAAGACAGAAAGAGAGAGAGCAATTGGAGAATCATGTTAACTGTTTACAAGGACACCTGTCCAGTGACCTCCCAACCTCTTAAAGATGTCACCACTTCCTAACATCACAACACTAGTGACCGTGCTCCCAGCACATGAGCCCCTGGGTACACATTTAAACCAGAAGTAAACCACAGCAGAGGGGATTCAAAGATCCCCAGACATTTGAGGAAAACAAACATCAAAGGGGTCAAAATGAACAATCAATGAAAAGGAACACAGGCTAGAGGAAACAGAAAAATTAAGGCAAGTTTCAGTGAATATAAGTACCTCAGAGAATGACAAACAAGACTGCATTCACAAACCCAAAATAGGATGCTTTTTTTTTTTTTTTAATGAGAAGAGCTTACCAGCATGCAAAGACCTGAAGGACTGCCTCTGTTTGAATCTGTCTTTAAGAATGTTGTTCCACAAYTTTGGATTGGGCAGAGGGCAGGGAAGGCAGGGGAGGGGCTGTCAGACTGGGAAGGATGGTGGAATGAGACGGACATTATTATCCTATGTACATGTATGATTGTACGAATTGTGTGACTCTACATCATGTACAACCAGGGAAATGAGAAGTTGTGCTCCGWTTGTGTACAAGTGAGTTGAAATGCATTCTGCTGTTGTGTATAACTAATTAGAACAGATTAAATAAATAAATAAAAGAAAGTGGTTCTACAGAGCAGTTCAGCAAGAAATAGCAGGAATGGGGTCCAGAAGCTTGATCTGAAGACCACTAATGCAGGTCAGTGTGGACAATTCCTTTATTTCCCCCTATTTATAAAGTAACTGCTATATCTCTATTTAAATGATTGATATTTAGAAATATAGTTTTACCTCATTGCAGTTATTCTGTAAATACTGTTAAAACTTGCTTTTTCGTTCATCATATTATTACTAAATTAACCATGTTCTGTGAACATTTCACCACAATCATGTTGATGAGTATCCTTGTTATTATTTGTACACACATGTGCTGTTTTTCCTTAGGGAACATTGTTCGAAATGATACTGACTAGTCAAAATTTTCATTTTGATAGATTTTTTCATTACTTTTCAAATTAGTAGATGAATATAGTTGCCTCCAAATTATCCACAAAGAATGATAATGTTTTATCTCATGCATTTTTTTTATATTTATGGTTTCGCTGCATGAGCTAAAACTTTTTGGAGAAAACTATTAGCATGAGTAGGAATAGAAGTTATGCTTAAGTTGTTCCTGATTTTAATGGGAATGCTTGTTTGTTATACTTTTGAATATTAACCAATATGGTGTTTGGCTTATTTTTCATTCTGTRGTTAAAAAAATCCTCTGAAGAATTTGAATTAAGAATAAATATTAAATCATGTTTGGTATCATGTCATTTATCAGATTGTCTTCATTAAACACATACCTACTGTTCTCAATAGACCAGATTCTTTGCTGCTTAGGTACACAGCAGGATGGGTTTTTAATGATCTTTTCAGATTGCATACACAGAGAATTGTGTGTTGTCTAAATACATCCACTCTTAAAACCAGCACCAGAATGACGGATTGGTCAACTGTGCTAGAAGCGGATTCCCTAAAAGTTTATAACTTATCCTTACCTTTTGAAATACAGATTGTTTGCTTGACTGGCTCAAGGAATTCTCTTTTAAAAAGTTGTCCATCAGAATATCTGTAAAGAAGCACTTGTCCTATAGCCATGGAGCCGTATTTGAACGACTAAAGAATCCTTGAAGTCCTTTTTAATGAAGGTGCTTTTGTTTGTCCTTTTAGGGGCACTGCAATTGCTGGCATCGTCTTTGGAATCGTGTTCATCATGGGGGTCATTGCTGGAATTGCCATATGCGTCTGCATGTGCATGAAAAACAACCGGGGCACCCGGGTGGGTGTCATCAGAACCACCCACATCAACGCCATCTCCTCCTACCCTGGTGAGAAAAACTGCCTTCTCCTGAAGGAGAGGAGTCCAATTTTCTTTGTTAGGCTCAAATCCTTGGAAAGTAAAAAAAAAAAAACAAACAAACAAAAAAAAAAACAAAAACAAAAACATTAAAGACTCTATCTGAAATAATCTCAGATTTCTAGGGTATTTCTAAGTAAATGTAGTTTGAAGCTCTAGCTTTGAATAGAGATTATTTAGACCCAAGTAAGAAAATCCATTTTGTATTTGAGGGTGTTCATATTTTCAATGGATCTCTCATTGACTACAATTGCCAGTCAGCCAGAATGAAGATAAATAGACAATTCACACACACCATCTACCTACCACTGAGCCTGACAGATAATTACAGAGAAAGCATGTCTTGGTAAACTGGTATCTGATTCAATAGCATATACATCTTGAGAAAAATTATTTTTAAAAGTTTTCATGTGTCCTCATTATACTAAAAGAAGAGCTTTCACAAAAATTCTCAACAAAGAGCAAAGGTAATATATTAATAATTTGACAAGTATTTGTTGAAAATCTGCTAGAAACTCCACATATAAATTTATCGAGTACGTGTGATTCCATAAACAAAATMCTGCGTTTTGCACTAGAGATTCCAATAGTGCTTTCATTGTCAATCTGCATATATACTACTTGGCATATAAAAGGCAAGTGAATTCTTACTTTGACACACTCTTAGAAAATAATKTCCCCTCCACCCTTAAGTCCTCTCTAAGTCCCTATAATAAAGAAACAGGGTGCCTTTAAAATATAGTCTACCCTATGCATCAATCCTATAATTCTTTCTTCCTTTTTTAATCTTTTCTCTATTCATTTGAGGGAGCAAGTTTCAGATGAATGTGGGAATGATGACTTCTCCAGTTCCTCTTTGCCAGTTCTTCCTCTTCCCTCCTATCTTTGTGTTGCAGTGTCTTGGGGCTCTGCATCTTCTTCCACGCGTACTTTAACTGTACCATTTGACTTTGCAATGAAAGTACARCTTATATGCTAATGTTTCCCCAAAGTTATATAATATCTCCAATCCAAACCTCTGCTCTGAATTTCAGATTCATTTTATCCCAGGGCGTATTGGACATCCCCACTTGTGTGCCTAATAAGCATGCCAACTGTGACATATTTAAAGCAATTTTTCTGATCTTCTCCCCAAATCCCTTCTAGCCACAACTTCCTCCATTTCAGCGGATGGCAACTCTAGCCCTTTATTTAAGACTGAAAACCTTGAAGTCACCCTTGATTCCTCTCTTTCCTTACATGAAGTCTACCAGGAAAATGTTGCAGCTGTAGTTTCAAAATATATTCAGTATCTGACTCCTTCCTGCAGCGAGAAGCAGAAACTGTTACTTCCCTAGTGGGAACAGCACTGTCAGCCCTCACCTCTGTCACTGCCTTAAAGTTCTGGCAGGTCTCCCAGCATCCTCCCTGGGCCCCCTGGGATCTATTTTCAACAAAGTAACCAACGCAAGACTTTTTACTTAGATGTCACACACTCCTGTGCTCACAATCTTCCAGTGTCTCCCCACGTCCCCTAGAGGAATTTATCCCAATGTAAAAAGCCATTTCTTTATTGGGGCCTTCAAGATACCTTATTAATTGGCCCTTTCTCCTTTTTGTTCTTYCTTTCTTTCTTTCTTTGTTTTCCCACTATTTCTTAAGGCTCATTTATTTCTCCTTTCTCCCTTCCCACTCTGGCTCTAGYGCACTTTGTTTCTTGCTGTTCCCTGAACACAGGGCACACTCCCATCTCAGAGTTTTACCAAGGTCACTGCCTCCCTCACTTCCTTCAACTTTTTGGTCAAAGATCATGTCCTAATGGAGCCTGACTTAATCCCCCTCCTAAGATCCTAATGTGTCCCACCCCCACAGCATCCTAGTCCTCCTTTATGTTACTCTTGTTTTCAGGGTTCTTTTGATCTTCTAAGATGCATATAGTTTATCTAATAATGGATATGATATTTATTGTCAGCATGTCATTCACCTCTCTATTTCAATKATCTAATTCTGGGCTTAGCACATAGTGGGTATCCAGCAAACAGCTTGAAGATGAAAAACCCACCGCATGACAAGACCTGATTTAATCTTAGATCAATACCTATGGAATTGACCTTAAGTTTCACCCTGGTCCATGTAGCTTTTACTCCCTTCAGAAGTATGCTAGTCAGCTCTTGTCAATGTGACAGATACTTGAGGAAAAAAAAAAAAAAACTGGAGGAAGAAAGATTTCTTTTGGCTCATGGTTCCAGATATTTCAATCCATGGTCAGCTGCCTTCAAGGCAGAAACAGGGAGGAAGGCCATGGTGGAGGAAAGTTACTCAGCTCATGGCAGCCAAGATGCAGAGGAAGGAAAGGGCCAGGGGCAAGTCCCCAAGGACATGCTCCCAGTGACCTACCTCCTCCTACCATGCTCCACCTGCCTGTGGTTTCCACTACTTCTAAGTATTTCAGTCAGTTATCAATGTATTGATCCACTAATAAGGTCAGAGTCCTCAGGATTCAATCATTCTTCCAAGGCTCTACATCTGAACATTACTACATTGGGTAAGCCTTCGACGCATGAGTCTTTGGGGAACTTCATATCCAAACCATAACCGAGAACAATTTGTGATTTAAAATATTCCCAACTTGTCAAGAAGGTAAAGATGTTGGGACTAGGATAAAAGGAGAAGAAGAGATGAAACCGTTTGTTATTCTTCACATCTCCCCATTTTTCCCCCTGAATCAAATCATAACCCAAGAACAGAACACAGGAAAATCAAGTAGAGACATTAACTGGAGAGAAGGCAGGGAGAAGTGCTCCAAAAGTATTACTCTACATACACATTTGCTTGACCAAAAGAAAAAGTTTATATTCAATTTTAAATCAAATAAATATACTTTTATAAAATATTTTATATTTTATTTTATCTTTCTTCCAATACAAATCTTKTATCGAACCAGAAAACATCACTATTTTAAAGTGAGGTCATATTTTTTTAGGTGTGCAGTTTCTGTTTTGCTCCTAGAATCCTGTTTAACTCTACAGTGGCTCCTTACATAGTGGCAGGTCACAGCAGTATGTTGCAATTCCAATAAATGCATTGTTCTGGAAACAGAACATGCTGGAAGTGTTTTTCTTGCAAAAATAGCCTAGATCTTCAAAAGCCTAATGTGCTTGATTACTTCTCATTTCCTTCTCAAAGTCACTAATTAAGCTTTTACTTAAAGGATCAGGAAACCACACATAATGGTATTGACTGCTTTTCAAAATCTTTCATGTGTGGAAATACAAGACTTTTACCCACATTAATTAATTAACCCTGTGAAAATTGAGATAACAACCCAACTTATTGTGTTGTCTAGTCCYACAGCCTAGAAACCAGATAAATGAGAAGAACATCACTTAAAGAATGATGTCTTGTCCCATGGTGAAAGTACTTAGTGGGAACCCTGCAGCAAATATTACTGCTTTGTACAGGGAGAAGAGAATGTCATTCTGCTGTCACTTCTAACCCTTTCTTGGAGAATGACCTTCCCAAATTAAACTTTTCAGCTGTATTGGGTAGAATAAACAGGAGTCCTCTTTAGTTGAAATTATTTTTAAAATATTTAGTGTGAAGATAAGTGTTGAGTTGTACATTTTCACTCTTTTCAAAGAAAACTAGAGAGTAAACAAAGAAAAATGATCATCTTAACCCTTTTTCGAAAAGTAGGTTGGGCTGATACACATATAAAAGAAAATAATACAGTGAAGCCGTAACAAAATTGGCAGATATAAAAATCAAATGCAAACAGAAAAGAAAGCAAGCGATTTTAATCCCATCAAGAAAATGGAGGTTTGAAGTACAGTATTGAGTCTCCTGGGAGAGAGAAATGGTAGATGGATAGATATTGGAGAAGTAGGCAGGGTCTCTTCCTAACAGAATAATACACAAGGATAAACATAGAAGGAAACTGTAGAATTGGGGGGAAAATTACCCCTTTAAAATCAACATAAGATTTGGACCAAAATCTTCATCAATAGTCACTAACACTAGAGGAGAATGTTGCCAAGGAGCAAGATATTTGCAGTGCTTAATGTTTAGGGGATGTCTAGTTTAATGTCTAGTGGATGTTTTTTCTCAGTTAATAAGAGGAAAAAGAGTAACTATTCAGATACATCTTGGCCAGATTATCAAAATTAAGAGCACCATAGAGGGACAGATGGATGTTATACAGTAGCTGTTTGTAGTGTTCTTTCTGGGCATTCACAGCCTGATCGTTAGCATGAAAGATATCTGACAAACCCAAGTTGTCATTGACCCAGAGACTAAAATAAATAGCATTTATTTGAAAACAAAAATCACAATTCAGGTACACAGAGTCAGGTCAGCCCTTAAGAGTATCCTGTAAGGCAAGTGCAGGAGAGATTTCATAGGAGATTACTAGAGAAAGCTGTTTTCAGGGTAAATTCATTGGCCAGGCAGGAATTCTAAATCACAAACCTGTTCTGTTTGACTAGTTAACTGGGGTACTGCCAGCTGAGGACTAGGGACTCTGACTTCAATTGTTCATCCAGTCTACTGGAACATTCTGTGGTTTGATCTTTAGCAGTGTTAGTGCAATTGTATCACATTCTCCTAGCTCCTGTTAGAAAGCATTCGTTTTAGTTATTTCGTTTTCTTTTACATTTTGTAAAGCAACTGGCCTGTAATCTTTAATATCTCTTGAAAATACTTCATTGGGGATCAACGCTCCAAATGCCTCACTGCATTCAGAAACAAAAGCAACCTTACTTAGTACATGCACTAAACACAGGAAGACTTCTGAGTACTCACCAAACCTCTTTCAAGACCAGAAATTTATACTGAAGAAAATGTCTGTGTTTGTACTTAATATGAAAAAAAAAAGGTTCAGCTCCTGTGAGACCTTTTTAATACATGAAAATCCATACTGGAGGGGTTCTCTGTAATAAAGTTGTRACTGTGAACTTGAAGACACAACTCCTACTGGAGGAAAAMAAAAMAGAT